TACAGCAGGAGTCAAATGCAGACTTTTAATTCCAGCATTTACAGTTTCAGAGCACTCCCCAGGCCTGGCAGCAAAGGTCCTTAACCTATTTCTAAGAAAGAAAAGCTGTTAGGAGTCACATCTTCAAAAAATGAAGAAATATGCGTATTGCGCACACCTAGACACAACATTTCAATTGAGGTAGGATTCAAGGAATACATCATATGGCAACTCATTATTATCTGCTCACAGATTTGAAAAATTATCACCAAGTTAAAATACCTGATGCCAGGAAGATGTCAGATTTAAACTCATAGCTGTCTCTCGTGTGATTAATCCCTCACAGTAGTCAGAAGGGAGTAGTGTCACTCCACCAAACCAGTTTGAATTCAGTAGAGATTTATTAGGGTTATACAGCTGCATCACTGTGGTCACCACAACCAAGCCCCACAGAGGTCTCTGCAGTGAGTCGAACTCACTGATTAATCTTCTGGTTTGCAACATTACTCCAGAGACATTTTTGAGCCATCCAACTTTGGTAAGCTATTAAAAGACACTAAATAAAACAATTCCTTGAACCTTTCTCAAAAACTTTTGAGGTTCAAAAATAATTTCCCTGAACATACAACAGAATCAAATTTGAAAAAAAAAAATTATAGTCTTATTTCAGACCTTCTCGTGCTAAAATATTCACAAATCTGAGAGATAAGTGCTAGTTCAACAGGTAAGATGGGTATCAATGTTTTTATAGCTCATCAGTACATCACAATTTGGATAGAAATTAGTTTATTTTATTAAAGAAAGCAAATATGCATATGCAAATATGCAAATAAATTCTTAAAATCCAACTGGCTGCATATTTTTCCAAGTTTTCTGATAGCAAGGACTTTGTAAGCTGTAATTAATAAACTGAGATTGAAACTCTATCTTAATCAAGTCCTTGCACTTTATACCCACTAATGCCACCAAGCAGGCAGAGCTCCCCATTCACTGCATTAGTGATGTTTTAAATTCCCAGATGACTTTCTAACATGTCATCAAACCAGCTCTGGGTTTCTAGGCAACCAATTGATACTGGGGAAAAAAAATTTTAAGTATATGGGTACCATGTGCATTTCACACACGCTGTTCCTGATTTAGCATTGGTTTATGCTCAAAGAAAAATAAAAATAGAAAGTAAAGAACAATTCCACATTGTCAACTGGGCTACATGGAAAAAAAATCCAAGACATTTTACTGAGAATTGTTATAACACAAAAAGACATGCACATTTTAGCTTGGGTGCCAATCACTAACAGACCATCTACAACTATAACAGACAACTATAAAGAAATAACCAGGTAACAAATATGACCTGGAGGTCAAGCAAAGGTTTTACTCATGTATCAGGATCAAGAAGTACATTTGGATGATAAGCCACTAACAAACTCAATTTTTCAAGAGCCATTAAAGGGATTTAGGGACACAAGTCATGTTCAACAGCAGCAAAGCTATCACTTCTGTATGTTCCACGACAGCATGGCCCAGGCTATTCTGCCCTGAATCCAAGCTGAAAGCATGGACATAATTAGTTTGGGTATACTCTACAGAGACCCAAGTTCATAAACTCCAGGTACAGGAGTAATTCAGATAAGAAGCTAGGTCCTGGATTTTAAAACACACTTTTGTACAGCCATAACCTGAACTGCCTGTATTCAGTCCTTCCTGCTCATTTTAACCACTCCTTGCACCCCCCTCTTCTTCACCCTCTCTTATCTGAGAAATGTTGCCTACACATGCCTTGAAAACTTCAATGTAATATATACGCCTTTTGAAAGCTTCAGTTTAAAAATAATACAAATATGAACTTTGTTGAGTCTTCCAAAACAAAAATACTCTTAAGGCGTGAACAACAGCAAATCCAATCCATAAACTATTTTTCAAGTATTGTGCGTGCTAAGATTTTAAATTAATATTGACAAAACACTTTTACACCACATTGACAAAGCTTGGGCAGATAAGCACAAGTCAATGATGGCTGTTACGTCCCCTCTTTAGAGACTTCCAGAACAGCTGAGATGCTCTTACTTAGAGGTACAATAACTTCAACTGCTTTTTCATTAGCTTTCAACTTGTGGGACTTGGTTTTGTACCAGTATTTTCACTTTCATACCCTACAGTACTTGCAGTGTGACTTGGTTTTTTGATGGTCAGCAAACAAGTCCCTTTCAAGTAATGTATATTAAATGTTAAGTAATGAAAAACACCTGTCTCCTTCTCCAAATTTTAAAGCATAGCTGGGGATAAACAGAAATTAGCGCAATCATAGAATTAACTGGGTTGGAAGAGACCTCCGAGATCATCAAGTCCAACCCTTGATCCAACCCCACTGTGATTACTAGATCATGGCACTCAGTGCCACATCCAGCCTCGTCTTAAAAACCTCCAGGGACGGTGAATCCACCACCTCTCTGGGCAGGCCATTCCAATGCCTGATCACTCTCTCTATAAAGAACTTCTTTCTAATATCCAACCTAAACCTCCCCTGGCAGAGCTTAAGCCCATGCCCTCTTGTCCTACTGCTGATCGCCTGGGAGAAGAGACCGAACCCCCCCCTGGCTACAACCTCCTTTCAGGGAGTTGGAGAGAGTGATGAGGTTACCCCTGAGCCTCCTCTTCTCCAGACTAAACAATCCCAGCTCCCTCAGCCTCTCCTCACAGGACTTGTGTTCAAGTCCCTTCACCAGCCTGGTTGCTCTTCTCTGGACCTGCTCCAGCACCTCAATGTCTTTCCTGAACTGAGGGGCCCAGAGCTGAACACAATACTCAAGGTGTGGTCTCACCAGTGCTGAGTACAGGGGAAGGATCACTTCCCTCGTCCTGCTGGCAAAACGTTTTGACTTTTTTCTCTTCATCTAACAATTATGAAGTCTTTTTACAAGGTGGATATTATCCCACTCCATTTACAGGTTAAAGAGGAAACAAAAAGAAAAGAAACAACAGGGGAAATAAAACTGCTAATAAAATTCAAGGTTGCACAAATGGGGGAGCAGAAAAATCTGCTTTCTCAACATTGTTTCTAAAATTTAAATTCTTGGAGGCTGAACGTGTACTATAAAAATTAGGCTAATCACACCTTCCACAGTGAAAACTGCACATTTATTAGAAAGGCCTATCTACCCCGACTATATTATACGTTAGCCACTAGGATAACCAGTAGTTTGTAGCTAGGCTACTGCTTATTATAGTAGCTCCTCCAAACTCAAGGACACACCCAATCTTAAGCCCCCCTTCCCAGGCAGAAAAAAGGTGCATTAAACCCAGGACTCCGCGCACCTGGCAACACCTGCGTTTTCCCACTTCAAGGGGCAAGGAGGGGAGGGCACCATGGCCGTGAGGGCGTACATGGCCACAGCCCTGGCCGTGACAATTTCAGAGCTGTAAACCAGAGCCGTGAGACAGACAGGTGGAAAGGGTTTCCCAGAGGAGCAACGGGTGTCGAGGTTAAAACAACTACTCTGGCCGGGCAAGGTGACGGCGGCCAAACAGGCAGACCTGGGCCGGCAGAGCCCCGGGCCGGCAGAGCCCCGCTCGCCACGCCCCTCGTTACCTGACGCGGCCCGTCGCCATGGCCGCTCAGCAGCGCCACAGCGCCCCGGCTTCGCGCCGCCAGCGGGGAAGCAAGGAGGGAAGGAAGAGCGCTGCCTCCTCCCGCGGGCCGCCGCAGGGCGGGACGGCGCTCGCCCGAGGGAGGAGGAGCCCAGGCGTGCGGCCTCAGGGGAGGCGGCGCTGGTTTCCGAGCAGTCTCGTGTGGGGCACACGGAAAGCGTTGAAACCCCGGGGAGGGGCAGCGCCTGCCGCCCTGTCGCCGCCCCCTCCCCACGCCCCACAGTGAGCTCCGCGCCGGGCTCGGGAAGCCTGAGCGCGGTGTACTTGGCGGTCAGAATCACAGAATCGAGCGATTCCAACCTATGGCCAAACACCACCATGTCAATTAGACCACGGCACTAAGTGCAACATCCAGTCTTTTCTCGAAGACTTGCGGGGACGGTGACTCCACCACCTCCCTGGGGAGTCCCGTTTCAATGTCTAATAATCCTTTCTGTGAAGAACTTTTTTCTGATGTCCAACCTAAACCTCCCCTTGCACAGCTGGAGACTCTGTCTTCTTGTCCTATCACTGGTTGCCTGTGGGAGAAGAGGTCAATTTCACCTGGCTACAACCTCCTGTCAGGTAGTTGTGGAGAGCAATAGAGTTCCCCCCCACGGAGCCTTCCCTTCTACAGGCTGAATTACCCAGCTCCCTCAGCCACTCCTCATAGAACACGTACTCCAGACCCTTCACCAGCTCTGTTGCCCTTCTCTGCACACACTCCAGCACCCCAATGTCCTTCCTGAACTAGGGGGCCCAGAACTGGACACAGTACTCTACGTGAGGCTCATCGGTGCCAACTACAGAGGGGAAAAATCATTTCCCTAGTCCTGCTGGCCGCACTGTTTCTGATTCAAGCCAGGTGCTATTGGACACATGGCACACTGTTGGCTCATTTCAGTTGCCTGTTGACCAGCAATCCCCAATCATTTTCCGCTGGGCCGCTTTCCAGCTCACCCTGCCCTCAAACTCTAGCCCTGCCTGGGGTTGTTGTGACCCGGGCACTTGTTGTAGGACCCTGCACTTGGTCTTGAGGAACCACATAACGTCGGTCTCCTCCGGCCTCCATTCGTGCAAACGTCAACTGCAGCGCTTTTACACACTAGTATGTGCCAGACCAAGCAAAACATACACAAAAAGAACAGCTTTAAAAGGGTGACCGGGACAGCAGGTGCAGTGCGCTCCGAGCGGCGCCCCGCGCCCCCTTAAGCGAGACGGTGGGTCCCCGCCCCCGAGTGCGGGATGTGCTGTGGCCGCGGCGGCGCTGGGCATGGCGGGCGCTGTAGTGACCTCGCTGGGAGCCGCTCCCGGCGGCGGGCGGGAGAGGGAGCCCGCTCAAACTACCGCTCCCAGGGCTCGCCGCTGCCGCTCCCCGTCCCAAACATTTCCGCCGGGGCAATGGCGAGCGGCGGCTGTTGGCGGTAAAGGGTCAGTGGGGCTCCCGACCTGCCTGCTCGGGGCGGGAAGCTGCCCTGGCTCTTTCCCGAGGGTCCCCCGGGAGAGCGTGGCGAGCGGCACGAACTTTCCTTTCGGCCGTGAGGCCGGCGGGGAGCCGTGCCCGGGATGCTGCCCGCCTCCCTGGGGCGGACATGCCTGGGGAGGTGGCTGCTCGCCCCCCGCGGATGGGCGCTGCTGGGGACGGGGGCCGCGGCGGGAACGGGGGCCGGGTCCTGCCTGAGGTGGCGGCACCAGCCCCCGCTGCTGCTCCGGCCCGCCCGGCAGAGCATCGGGACGCAGGCGGGAGGGCTGAGAGCTGAAAAATCTGGCCATGATAGCAAAGATGTGTCCGTGCAAGGGGCGCGGAACGACGAAACGGTGCTGTCGGCTACTCAGAAAGGTAAGGCGGGCAGCAGTCACAGTGAGGGGGATGCTGTGTGCTGCTCAGAGAGGCTGCCGCGGAGACAGTTCGTGCTGCAGCTCTGGTTTTTTTTGTCACAAAACACAAGTGTTTGAAAAAAAAAACCACCACACACCGAATCTCTGAAAACTACCAAGCCAGTTGCTTTTACGTCGTACTATTTGAGCAATTGGTACGTTTCAATGTATGCATAGCGCAAGCAGAATAAACTTTGTGGCTTCTTCCAAACAGACTGTTGATTCAGTGTTCAAGTCAGATCAGGGACAAGGTGAAGTAACCTCTCGTATTCCTTTTCAAAAGGGAAACCTGTCGGTCGCAGTCTGTCTCACGGATTCTGAAACAAATTAACCTCCAGCAAAACTGTGGAAACTATGTGTGATACTAGTTTCTTCACGGGATTGCCGTCACTTTGGGCGGTCTCATTCACCTCAGTGAAAAGTGATTACTATGTAATTAGACTCAGAAATTCTAAGTGCTTTGAAATGGTTTATGAAAAATGCCTTCAACTGCGTAGGAGACTGCAGGAGAAATGGTTATTAAAGTTTCCTCGGTAACTTGTACTTAACTGAAAAGTACACTTTATCACTTTAAAAGGTTAGTAGTCTCTTTCCAAGTTCTCACAAATACTTTGAAACCGAGAATCTCTTATGACTTTTTGGATGTCTGTTTAGTTTTGCTAATGCTTTAGATCAAATCTGATAGATAAAAACTAATCGGATAAACAGCAGTTAACAATGTTAATAAATAAAACACATATTTTGGTCTAATATTCCTCCTTTTTATTGTTCTCTTGATTAGTAATTAATAAAATCAGTTATTTTCAGTGTGTGCAATTTATAAGCTTTTTAATTTTTACTTTTCCCTTTTTGTGTATAAGAATTGCAATAATTGTGGGTTTAGGGGCTAAATAACTCATTAGTTGTTAAAAGATCTAGCTCTCATGTGCCCAAAAAAATAGCAGTAAGTGATTTTTTTGGATCTTGAAGTCATCCAGTAGGAAAACAGAAAATAGTAAGGCTTAACACAGAGATATAAACATGCCTTGTAGCATATAAGAGATGTTCCATGGTCTTTTGTTTATAGTGATGAGACATTATGGAAACTGTTACTGGAATTTTTTCTCCTGCCGAAATGTTATTTGAGCTGCAGACTAATAGAAAAGTATTTACATAAGAAAGCTATGCAAGTTTTATTATCCAACGTTGTAACTTCTGTGTTGTTTTCTGTTTTATTTCAGTGAAAGAAGCTGGAAGAGACTTTACCTATTTTATTGTGGTGCTTGTTGGAATTAGTGTTACAGGTTATTTTTCATGATTACATTCTTTATCAGAAGACACTTTTTATAAACTTCGTCAGGTTTGGTAAGTTTTCATTTCATTTGCTGTTATTTCTTTTACAGGTGGTTTGTTCTACGTGATTTTTAAAGAGCTATTCTCTTCTTCTAGTCCAAATAAGATCTATGGAGATGCCTTGGAGAAATGCAGATCTCACCCTCAGGTTGGTTTGTGGGCTTTTAGTTGTAAGTTTATGTTTCTCAGTAGTTACTGTCTCTTTTCAAGTCAAAAGTTTGCGCAAGGAATGTCACAAGCCAAGCTACGGGAAAAGCCATGTGGTGCTTAGAAGATCTGCCAGTGCTTTTAGCTGGCCAGAGGTGGGTCAGCTCCAAACTGGAGCCTGTGTTAGGACAGGTCAGTGCAAGCATTGAGCCTGTGTGAATTAGCCTGCTGGAAGCCAAGTGTGTGTGCCACAGCACAAAACCTGATGCAAAAACAGTCTGCCCTTCAGAGCATGTACTTGTGCCTACATACAGAAAGTCTTACCAACATACCTGAGTTCCTGCTAAATGTAGTACTTAAGGAGTTCTGCAGGCCAGAGAGGCAACTGGTCCCACTTAAGTTTTGTAGATCTAGCCTGCTACCTTTTCTCAGCACAGTTATTGTGTTGTGACACTTCACTACGCTTCTGTCACTCTGTGAAACACTGAATAGATACCCAGAAATTTAAACTCTTCCTTTGCAACATGGTTAGCCTTCCTGTGGCTAACAGGAAAAGAGATGCAGAACAGTCGTGGGATCACACAGTCATCACAGCTAGGTGTAAACAAAAATCAATCTAAAATTAGATTCTAAAAACCACTACTTCAGGCAAAACAAGAAATGCATGCGAAAGATTTCAAGCAAGGTTGCCTCAGATGCCACCAAGGATAACCTAGAAATGAAGTGACAAGTTGTCACTAGAAAAATGATGACTGTTTTGGAACAAGTTTGTAGAATTAAAACTTCTCTCCAATACTTGCACAGTAAAACCTACCCTCCCTTTCTAACCAACTTTAAAATAAGTTTAAAACTAGGTTAATCTGCTATGGTTTTATGGATTTGAAAAAAAATACTGAATTTCTTCAACAGTAGTGTTTTTTAGATAATGTGAAGGGGAATGCATTTGCATTTTAAACTTTGAAATATTCTCTTGGAGGAGACATGAACAAGTATTTCATGCTTTTTTTTTCCTTTTTACCCAAATGTTGGTTTACACGTCTTCATCTCAGAGGACAGTAAAAGATCAGCTCAATTGCTTAGAGCATAGTGCTGATAACACCAAGGTCACGGATTTGATACCCATAATGGGCCATTCACTTAAGAATTGGACTCAATGATCCTTGTGTGTCCCTTTCAACTCAGAATAGTTTGTGAAATAGAAGATATTAGTAGGATTTATTTTAAATGTTCAATATTTGACTGTAAAGAAGAGGACTGGAATACAGAGGAATTTCCTTTAACAGTTTTCTTTCATAAACTCTTCTATTCTTGGACACACTAGACTCACAAAGGGCATTTTGTTAAAAAAAATGCATTCCCAGCAGGGGTGTGAGCTGATACTGGAATATTTGTTTGTATGTGGTACCTTCTGACAATTCTAGCCTCTTCTTTTGTAGATAATTGGTGCTTTCGGTGACTCTATTAAAGGTTATGGGGAGGCAACAAGAAGAGGAAGACGACAGCATGTCAGGTACCCTTTGGTGTTTACCCATTACAGACAGTAGTTTTTGCACAGTAAGGACGTTTTGGGTCACGAATTAGATCTAGATTGAAGAACTGTATGTGACATACCCTGTCACTTCTGACTGAACATACAAGTTTTTTGCATTACCTTTTGTGTGGCATATACCACTAAGTAGAATAAAATGCCAATTTTGAGTGCCTCAAAACAAGCAACGATCATCATAGTAAACGTAGAGCTGGTCTCTCCAAAAACCAGGAGGAGTCTGAAGAGAGTAGTAAAGAGGCCTAGACATGCATGTGGGGAACAGGAATCTGACTGAAATTTACAGTCTGAAACTGTTCTGAGCTGATACTCAGAACTGGCTACCCATTTCTTATATTGCTTTTTTGTACTTGAGGCCACATCTCTACTGTGTATTTAACAGAACATCTTTCACCTAAACCTTTAATCAGTGTGTCTATTTATTACACTCCTTTTGAGAAAAACAACAGAACTATTTCTTACAAAACATTAATCCTCAGTGCTTTGCCTTTTTTGAGTTCTTTGACTGGAATATGTTCAATGAGGTTTCATATAGGATGAGACATATAACCCCCAATACACAACTTGAATCATGACATTGAGGTTGGGGTTTTTTGACTTTTACTAGTTGAAGTTTTATCTCTTCACCAGACTCTGTGAAAAAGTGTTTAAAGCGGAGCTTCTAAATGAAATGAATATGCACAGACATTTTAAGCACCACTCTGTAAAATGAACTATGTAGATAAGTAAATGTATTATGAATCAGCTTTCCTGGTATTTCATTTCCATAATTTTGAATGTCTAGTATTTTAAGTAAATTTTTCAGCTGAGAACTGCATAAGATTGTAGACTTTGCACCTCCAGTATAAGGATGACCTTAAATGTCTCCAAAACGTACAGGGGTTTTTTTTGTGTGTGAACACTTTGAATGTGAATTTACCACAGTAAGGCTCTTCATTCATCTTTATTCTCTCTAACCCATCATGTCACCTTAACTGTATTTGCAGTGTGTACCTGGGTATGAGTGATGGAAATAAGAGCTTGGTAGTATGCAGCAGTTATTAATTTCAGTAAGAAACATAACTTGGCATCAGAACTCTCATTTGACCATTAGTTTCTGAAAGTGGTCACTTCAAAAGGAATGGGACCTTTCTATTTATCTAATATATGCACATAAACCAACTCCAGTCTAAATATCAGCATTTAGGCTGTAGATCTGATATCAGTACCAGTTATACAATTTCAACAGAATAAAATTATTGCCAAAGTAAGTAAAGCACATAATTAACTGTTTTGATGTGATTTAATCAGCCTAATAATGAAGTAAACAAGCATGCTTTGTGTATTTTGGCTTGTTAACTTAGTTTAAGTGCCTAAAAAAACCCCTGGTAGTCTTGGTGATGTGGGCATCACTTTCTAGATGTTGGGCTCCAAATCTCGGAGTTCTTTAGAAGAAATGCAAGGAAATTCCAGAGTCTTCAGCTACTGGATTGCTTTTGTGGTTTTAGGAGAGGATTGGGGTGAGGACATTTAAGCATTTCGTCTCTTAATCCTCAACAGCTAATTAGCTCTTCTAACTCCGCTAGTCCTTAGGCACTCAGAGTAAAGCTTGGGAAGAGCAGTAGAGAAGGAACCCATGGTAGCATAAGGACTCCATCGGAATACAATTTCTTACAAAATGAGTGAGCAACTCCTCTAAGTAAGTTTAAATTTGAAGTCTTAACTGGCATATAATATGTATCCTTGCTGGGTGGTTGGGTTTTTGTTGTGTTTTGCTGTTTTTAGTCACATTGAATACGTGAAGGACGGATTGAAACATAAGCGTTTGAAGTTCTATATTGAGGGCACTGAATCAGGGAAACAGGGAACAGTCCATGTGGAAGTCAAAGAGGTATGTACAATTGCTAGATATAGCTGACAAGCCTAATCTCGAACTTAAACTACCAAAGAGAAAAAAACAGCCTGAAATTGTTTTCCTTGCAGAATCCTGAAACAGGAAGATTTGAGGTCCGCTACATATTTGTGGACGTTGACACCTATCCGAGAAGAACCATTGTCATAGAAGACAACAGATAACCAACGATCAAAATCGTTGCTGCCTTGTCTCATTGAGTGTTGGATAATACTGGTGTAGCCAGTCTACGCATGAATTGTTTGATGTTCTCGATTGTGTCTCCCAGATTTGGGGGTGTGTTGCAGGAAGTAGCCTCTCAGGGCATCCATTAAGGACTTGGATAATAACTGATAACAGGATTTAAAGTGAAACCAATGAAATATAGTAGAGCTATGATTTATGGCAGATACTCTTGACATAGGAAAGCAATGGCTCATAATAAAGAGTTTAATGATGGATAATAGTTCTGCTTACCCAAATACTGAGTCTTCCAAGTTTTTAGGTTTCTATGGGGAGTTGTCTTCCTTGCTTGGATTTCCCACTACCACTGCAATAAAGAAAGTGGTATTTTAACTGTGGACAAACTCTACTGTTTTCATTCTGGATGCCTTTGTAGGTAAGAAGGTAAAATAAGAACGTTAGTGATGCAAAACAGATCTAGCCCAAAAGCATGTAATGACCCCCACAGAGAATAGAGAGAAAGACCCCAGTATCTATAACTTCTGATATTCACATACTTATAATTGATGACATGGGCTGTGCCCCTGGATGAATTGTGTAACACAGATCGTCTTTTTACCATGCAGTGCTCGTTACTCTCCTGTTGGCAATAAGCCACACTTATGGAAGTAACTTCTGTCTCTAAAAGAGTTCTCTTGTAATTTCAGGAGAACATTTGGTATTTGCTATAAAGCTGGCTTTTCTGTAGAGTAACTAATGTACTCAGGAAGTCGTGTACTTCACCATGCTTTGTTTTCAAGCCCTGAAACCAAAATGTAACACTAAGAGATAGAGGCACACACATATAAAATGTTCATGAAGCTAAATGGTAGTCAAGATCTTCACTGGTGTCTCTTTAGCAAAACTATCAAGCTCTAAGTACTGTTACCTTCAAAATGTTTTGAAAAACACAACATTCCATTTAAACTTCTCTCTTTCCCACCTTGTCTTGTGTCTAGAAGTGTCATTTATCAGGGTGTGTCCTTCATCCATGAGGGGCTGCTCATTATTTTCTTTTGCTGCTTGCATCACCTCACTAGCTAAGCAGATACACCAGGATGCTTTTCTTCTTATTTCTTGGATGGGGGACATGACTCTGAAGGACATCACTTGTCCTGCATCGTGAAAAAGCTGACAATATACTTGATAAAATGATGACAAAAGTAGCAGAAGAAATCCACTTTTACCCGAGATTAGATATATTAGTGTTCTTAATTTGAACAAATGAAAAATACAAGGCTTAAATGCTTTCCTATCTCACTGAAGGGAAGCTTTTGCTAATCCTTTTTCTAGGAACATCTCTTCAGTAAAGAAAAAAAAAGAACTTCATAACTTGATTTATTATTCTCCTTCTAGCTAGATACCTATCACCAGCAAGATTATTTAAGCCCCACGAGATTTTCAAGAGTATTAAATTTTTATACCTATGTAGTTCAGCTGCAGAAAAAGAAGTTAAACAGTTTTTGCTAACAGAATTCCTATGGGAACTTGTTACTTCTTTCCATATTCCTTCTGAGGCTGAAGTTCTCTTGGTCCCTATGAATCAGGCTGGCACCCATGCTTAAAATATTTCCTTAAATCCTGTTTCATGCAAGCAAATATATGGGGACATCATAATCAAAATTAGGTGAAGATGAGTCCAACAAGACATCTGAAATACAAAACATTGATCTCTTCTGCAGTACCAGTTTACCTGGTAGTTGTTTGCACTGGAGGGGAACAGCTACATTCACTGAGTTTAAACACCCGTCCTAATTCTCAAAACAGCCTCAATTGTTCCTTATAAAGCTACCCCTGCTTCAGTGGATTGCTGTGCTACCAGTAAGCCATGCAGAGATCCTTCTGTGTGGTAAGCAGGTCAGTGTTCCATCCTCTTGCTGGATGATGGAACAGGAGACAAGCAAAGTAACTGGAAGGTTCATCTTCACTTGTCAGTAAACACAAGCAGTAACCCTTTCAGTGTTTCCTTTTTAAAACTCTTTCTTCTTTTTCTCTGGGAAAACACAAAATTACAGTGTATGGTAGTTATTTCTGATGTAGAAGTGTCATGTTATTGTTACTAAAGTGGTGGGAAAAAAAAAATCACTTCCAGTAAATCAGAGCCAAAGCAATGACATTTTCATGGAAATTAAACACATTTTCCAGAGTTCAGTTTTGATTGTTGCAGAATTATTAAAAATATGTGTGCTCAAAACCCCCTTCTCCTTTAGGAAATGAAAATATGTCACTCATCAGTGAAATGTTGTTTTTCCAGAAATTGTGGCAGATTACTCAAAATGTATTTAAGGCATATGTACAATTTGGTCTTAACTTTCACATCTCTGCACTCATTTTTTTGGATACCAAAACTTGTGTATATATCATAGGAAGCCAACATCCTTAGAGCTGGTTTGTGAGAATAATAATATTACTATACCATCTATGTGACCTCTTTTTGAGTCTAGGTCCTGTACATACTTGCTGTATAGTGACAAAAAGAAATATCCCTTCAGGAGATTATTTTAATGAAAACTTTAAAATATCAAAAATTATTACTCTTTCACTAAGCTTCAGTAAACAGAAGATCTTGCAAAGAAAACGTAATCTTAGACTGGGAAGGAAAAGTGGTGTTGTGCACAACTGAGTTTAAAAATTACCTGAATACCTAAATATTTCCAGCATGGAATTCAAGTTAAACGATTGATTTAGCCAATAGAGTCATGATCTTGGAAATGGTTGCAAATAAATGCATGTCTGATAACAAGAAACTTCGACAAACTCACTTAACAAGCAGAGAAGACAAGAATGTGAGTAAGGCAATTATTCTATTGCATGCCAACTGAAGAAATAAAAAGCCAGAGAAGGTGTGCTGGGGGTTTTCGCAATTTCATTTCACTTTGCTCTCAGTCTCATTCACTATCACAAGGGGTGCTATCCATCCTAATACTCGTGGGATTGTTCCAGAGCGTAAATTATCAGCAACCTAACCTGTTACAGATTACACCAAAAAAACATTGAAGACGCATTTTGAGTCAAAGCCCACTTTTAGGATTCGTTGAGGCCTGTAAGCTGATGGAAATACATAAGGCAAGCACAGAGATTGAGGAAAAAGTTTAAAGGGAAAAAAGGTTGAAGGAGCAAGCTTAGACATGACAGTAAGGGCTCATAACTGGCCTCTGTATATCAGGTTGTGAAGTCTCCTTGGAGATCTGGAATACAATTGGCACTGGAAAAACGGAAATTTGAAAACAGAAAGATCTTTCCCCTCTTTTCGAGGGGGAAAAAGAAAAAGCTTAGTCCCTAGAGAGATGTTCACTTGCTCAGAATGCAGCATAATAGAACACTAGTAGAAATTCTCTTTAGGCAGCTGGGAATGGATATCATTATGATATACAGTTATTTGAAGCTGTACTATAAATAATTGAACAGCAGAAGTATTTTATTTTATAGTTCTTCTTCTGAAGTTTTCAGGGGTTTTTATTCTGTATGTGTTATGTAAAGTAATCTATAGGAATTATAGAAAACTGTGAATTAATACCATCCTGTATTCAAATTCAGTATATATTCAAAATTAACTGAAGTCTTTGCCTCTTGCTGCCATTGTTGCCCTGTGCAGCAGCATGGGCACTGTCCCACAGTGGTGGAGCACCTACTGGGGCTGGCAGCACTGGTATCTGTACTTCCAGATTATGCACAGGCTTCTCCCTCCACATCTTAAAACCTCCTGGTACTGTCCCGGGAAACCTTTCCAGGATAATCGTGTCTATCCAACCTCTGTTTAATTACAGTTCCCCGTTATCAGAATCACAATTACGTTCCCTAGCATGAGTTGCTGCCTTGTATTACTCCCCACAATTAACTCTATTAACCTTTTATCTAAGCACATTTTCACTCTTTATAGGAACAGGGTTGTTTTTTCAATTTCAATCCTGATTCTTTTTTTCCATTAAAAACATAACGATCTCTGCCATAACAACATTTTATTGGAGTTATATGCATAATAAATCATGGCTATATTCCCTGAGATGTGATTTGCTTCATTAGTACTACAACCTTCGTAGAGGAGCTGGAAGTGAATTGCTATATTGTACTCTGCCTGGGTCCATGCATTATCCTGTGTTTTAATAACATGAAGTCAAATCCCAGTGTTGGAGTGAAGATTTGCAGAATGCCACCAGTTGATTTTACTGTGATACCTGGCAAGATCTAGGTGTCCTCTCCTCCTCTGTCTGGCTGCAAAGCTACCCTGAATATGGTAGCTTCGTGCTAATTTTTTGTATTCTTCGCATCTATTTTCCCTAAATGTCTCTTAACACCTTCTGAGGGGTGGTGCCACTAGCCTCTGCATATATTTCTCTTTCCCTTCAAAATGTTAGGCCTAACTTCCATGTCTGCATGTCCCTTCTTTACCCATATTTAATTTTGCAGAATAAAAGTTAAACTCCCACAACCACTCATCTTTTCTGGACCCTTCACCAGCTTCATTGCCCTTATACATATATATGCCTATGCATAAAAATACTGTAAATATATAAAGTAGAGCATATACGTTTTATATTATGTATACATAATAATACCTATCTATGTACTTCACCTTGAAAACTTTTTATGTAACATCAAAATAAGTTAGCTTCTGAGGCCATTCAAAAGCAGACACCTACCATTACTGACCAAGTCATATTGCAGAGCTGATCTCCAGTGATGTTCCTGAAATCCCTGTGATCCACATAAGCCACATGGACCTAACAAGTGTTGAATTCTGGGTGGTGGGTCCGATTGACACCGTCATTTTTAACTGATATCCTGCACCCCATCCAAACCTTCAATGACTGACATGTATAAAAACTCCAGGCATGTCTCAGTAGCAAATATTTCAAGGTGAATTAAAAAGAAGAAATCAGATAAGCAAAAGGATGTGACTTGTGCTAACATTAGAACCAAGTTAACTCTAATCTCTTCTGTACTGAGTGAATCATAATGGCAGTTTTCTTCTTGATAATCTCTTGCTCCATCCTGCATTGCAATGTTAAAGGCCAGAAAAATAGTGGTGCATTCACTGGTGGTTGTCAGTCTTTGGGATGAGAACTGAAAGTGGAAGTGTGTGAATATGGGTTTTGTGGTTTTGTAAAAATATGCATTTTTCATGTTGAAAGCATTAATTGTAAACCAACTGCCAGTGTCACAGTCAGCCCCATTTACCCATAGGCTGGCCATCATGCTGTACCACCCACATAAGGGATGACAGAGTGACTTTCTCTTCCTGAAGGACTGGCTCCGTGCTTCCTAAGCAAAGTGTTCCTACATGACATCTCCAAAATAATTATCCACCACAACATAAATATCAACACATACACACACAATATCAAAGAAAAACTAATACTCTGAA